AATTGAATGGTGAATAAATTAAAAATTAATTTTTATTTTTTTAATACAAATTGATAATGAAAAGAATATATTTATTACTCAAAAGCGATTTTTTTTTGTGATATTAGATTATATAATGAAAAACATTTCTCTCTTTTCTCTTAACCCATTTCACTTATATATTATACGATTTAAATTTAAGATATTATACTTTCAAAATGAAAAAATCACTATTGACTTATTTAAGTTATTAATCTTTTAATAAAAATTACATGACAGAAAAAATTAATTTGTGTTTATATTGATAATAATATATAATTATAATGTGATATTATAAGGTTAAGATATGCTGAGTGAAACTTTTGCGAACAATATTAAAGAACATCCGTTGTTCTCATTTTATTCTAACCCTGTCGAGTATGAAATGTGTTATTCTTTTGGTATATTGAGAGCAACATCGAATGCCACCTTGGCGAGATCTGCTTTCATCACGGTAATCCCTTTCCAAAGATGATACGGCTTTTGTTATGGGTTGATAGCCTGTCCCCAGTAGCGAGGCTTCCAAAAAGTAACGAGCCAACACCTAGCACCAGCTCGCCCTGCTTAATTGTGTTCCAAGGGCTCTGGCACCAGCCCCATCACTTATCGATCATTGACCAGTCATCCACAACTTACACCCTTTTTTTCATATTGACTGCCCTTTAATTATATTGGCAGGTTAACTTACACCCTTTTTTATCCATTGACTGCCCTTTAATTATATTGGCAGGTTAGAATGTCAGTTGTGTCCATGGTATAACAAGAGCAGCAAGAAATGTAATCTTGGCCGGACCTGAAACCAATACAAGTCCCTTACAAGAAATAATTCAACTTGGGTTGGTAGCCTCACCACAAGGGCCAGGCCTCCAAAAATTGACACAGGGCGTTATGCGACCCCCTGACGGGACGAGTAAAGTGTGACAATATTATACACCCTTTATTTAGAGGCTCATCTAAACCCTTTCATCCATCTGCTACCGTTGTGGGATTCAAACCTCCTGTGCCCTAAAGTTATCTCCTGAGAGAAATATATATCTTATAAACCAAAGATGTTTTCTTTCTTTGAACCGAAGCTAAAACGACGAACGAATATGATCAAACAAAAACGACTTGAAGAAAAAGGTGAGGGCAAATCACACTCACAGTACTACAATGAAAGTAAAGGTATAAGGATAAGTGTAGAGGATAGTAGACTGGTGCCGTTTGCAAATGAAGAGAAAGGAAAGCTCGTTTCCAAGAACAATGAGGACGAAGAAGCAAGTTTCGAGCTAACTGATCTATTGAAAGCGTCAGCTGAAGGGTTAGGAAAGAGGATTTTCGGGAATACCTACAAGGCAATGATGGTAGGCGGCAGGTCAGCCGTAGTTGTGAAACGCCTTAGGGATTTGAGACCATTGAACCGTGAGGAATTCGTCAAGCAGCTGGAGAAGATTGTTTCTTTTAAGCACCGGAAACTGTTGCCTTTCCTTGCTTACTTTGATTCCACTGACAAGAAGTTCTTCATATTCAAGCATGAAGAGAAAGGAAACCTCATCAGTCTCCTCCACGGCAAGTCTCACAATAATTTTATCAAACAGTTTGTAGGCTTTTTGAGTTCATTGACGAAAATGATGGAATTGAACAGGAGCCAGAGGAACCCGGGACAGGATTCCCTTCAGATGGCGCTCCAGATTATCTGTTGCTCGCGGCGTGGCACGAGCATCGGAATATCTTCATGAGAACTCGAAAGAGGAACCCTCCGTCCCTTACGGGAATTGAAACTGTCTAACATGCTCGTCGACTAAAGGGATATGGTTCTTGTTTCGGATTATGGCCTAATTTCCCTCATAGCACCTCCAGTTGCCGCGCAACTTATGTCCTCGTTCAAATCAACGGAATACCAGGCAGCAAAGAGAGTCTCCAAGAAGTCAGTTGTCTGGACTTACGGTTGCCTTTCACTAGAATTGCTGACGGGAAGAATGTGGGTCAACACAGCTCCAGCAGGCATCAACGGGGTGGACCTCTGCGGTTGGGTTCATAGGGCGGTGAGAGAAGAAAGGACGGCTGAGATACTTGACTTGGAGATTGCTGTGCAGAGAAGCTCTACTCCGGGATGGTGAAGCCCTTGCACATTGCCATCCGTTGCTATGATAAGGACCCAGCGAATCGGCCAGAGGTTACACAAGTAGCAAGAGAAGTGGAGAACATAAAAATTGTTGAATCTGAAGATGAATCTGACTTATCCCTGTATTGATCATTGGCAGACGAATCATTATCAACTACTGCCTCAGGACTCAGTGATGACCGAACATTGTAGGAAACATGTTTTATGATTAATGAGCAGCATGCATTTT